CTGTAAATTACAAAGAATATTGAAAGGGCTTTTATTCCTTTTACTGATATGAAAAGAAGTTGCTTTCCCTGTAAATGTGCTATCCTTTCTTTCGTTCTTTGTGTCGTTATAAACCTTTGAGACCTTAGCGAAGTAACACTTTTTGAAGCCACTATTGCAAGAAACCAGGTAAAAGATAATGTGACCACAATATTCTAGTTTAATAAAAAACTGGGGAAATTGTTAAACTGATAAGCTGATATTGTATATTAACATAACTACCTAATGTCTCGACTGCATCATACATCACATTATTTATAAATATAAAAGTTTACTTTGCTTTTCTAACTCCCTAAAAATTTAGTTTTCTTGTGTTAAATTTTGTTTATTAATACTAAATTTAATTGTAGTGCAACAGTCTAGTGTTTATGGTATGTAACTATTGAATATATTTTACAAATTTAGAATGCCTTTTTGTTGACGTTCTAAAATTATCAATTCAAAAAATTAATCTTGGGGAAAACTGCTGCATATTCTAATTTGGATTAGCTTGTCTCGTTGGAGATCAGTCAACATTTGAGAAATGCTCCAAAATTTTACCACAATGATTCGAGTCATTAATGATGTATCGAGATATCGGAATTTACCTCAGTTGTAAAGAACTTATTGCATATAACACTGTTTTGCTGAAAGAAGAATGGCAAGTTTATAATTCAGTTTTAATTTGACAGTAGCATCAGTTGCAGAGAATTGATCACTGTTCGCTTGCTACGTTGTATCTTTCAGCCAAATAGCTTTCAGTCTAGTTTAGTTTAGACGGTTAATAAATGGTCCTCAGTATACTGGAATGTTTAGCGAATGCAATGGAATGAAATTGAATATCCTACGTAGTGTAATATTCTTTAAAGAACTGATTTGATTCAACAGCCAATTGAAACGAAATTTACTGCAATGACACCCTACACGCAATTAGAAACTTTTTTCACAATTAATAAATAACACACAGCTAATAGTAAATATATACATGCGTAGATGGTGCTGTGTTGTCAATAATTTGATACTACATCAACTTGCACAATATATAATACGCTACTTTCTCTTGAGAATTGTATAATCGTAATTGTATATAATAATAAGTCGAAAATGAAGTCAAAAAAAAATAAATAAAGGAATAATACATAGGTCAGAGTATTTGCAGTTTAGTTATCTCATTTGCAGAGGCAAAAGGATAAAATAAAATGAATTCTGACATTTAGAACTGAGTGAAAAAGAAAATTACAGACGTATCAGCGTTGTTCTTTTCGAGAAGTGGTGTTAAGAATATCGGTTGCTAGATCTTAATGTTATATTTACTTTCGAGAATACGTCCTAGCACTTTTTCATTTCATACAAAAAACCATGCAGACGGCTATAATTCAACGTATATGAACGTTATTATTCTGCAGATCTGCTAAAAGCCCCATATGTCATATGACATAAAAAAATATTTCTAAGAACAATGGAAACCCTCATATTGTGAACATTAAAAGACACACCACACCAATGTGGCTCTCCCGCAGGTCAATAAACACAAAAGCGCAGAGTAATTCCAAATAACTGATGTACTTACCTACTTCTTGAGTGAAAGATTAGTTTTAGAATAAACAAATTCTTGATAAGAACATGAATGTCAAAAGCTCTTCCTTTGCCAACGGGTGCTTTCTTGCTGCTTTTTTAGCATAACATATTTTTGTTTAATTAAAAGTTACTATATAATCAGTTATTAAAGGGACCAGTTAGTTTAACTTTGAGTATGCTAACGAATACAAAAGCATTAGAAGTGCATCTTTTGTTAAAGGTGCTTTGTTTTAGCTAGCTAGTTGTTGAAGGGATTCATCCATGTACGGAGAACATTTTCAGTATCAGGTGGGTACTTAAAGGGCTCTCATCCTTGGCTTTAAACTACGATACATGCAATATACTTCAGTTCCATGAAAATATTTAGCATATGCAATTGTATATATTGGGATCCGTCAAATGGGCATACACCATCTGGTGGCAAAATTTATAACTCGAATGAGGGAAAAATTTACATAGGAACTGTGCACGCAAATTGTAAAATTGTTTATTAAAATAATAAAACACGTTAAAAAAGTAAAAATTTTTTTGATGATGGAGTCGACGAAGTTTTCTTCTAAAGTTAAATCAAATAAAAAGTTAATATGTTCAGTGAAAAGCTGCAATAGCACTTCAGACATAGATCTTCACTCTTCACCTACATTAACTACTTTCCAATAAAAACTAACCGTTTTATATATGTAAAAAATATATTCGGAAAATTAGAGAAAAAAGTAAACTAATAGAAGCTTGGATGAAAGCAGTAGGTATCAAAGAAGTGAATTCCGGAATAAAAATTTGTTCACGTCATTTTAATGCACATGATTATATTTCAGCAAGTATTTACCATCAGCCATAACCTTAATATTTAAAACTAGAATCATACTAAAATTATAAAGTGAGAAATTATTTATTCCTGTGTAATTGATTTAACACAATTCTAATGATACGATATAAGTATTTTGAGGTTAAGAACCTACCTGCTGCAATACAACAAAGTTGCAATAATGTGTTTGCAACGTTCTCTTAAATCGGCTTTGCACGTGCAAGTCATTGATATGATATTGCTTAAATCACCCAGAATCACCTCACCAATTATATAACGTGAATCACTTTTTAAATCCGAAGTTTGTAAAAAGTAGGCAGTAAACTTGACGGAATTTGAAGGCTAGCTTCCGGATTTGTTATTTCCGAATTTTATAATGTGATTGGCATTAAAAACACGCTCACCTTCAACGAAATTTCCTTTCCGAGGCTTTGTGTCAGCCCAATCACATATTGTGTCAATACTTATCATTTTATCGTAATTTAAAAACTTGGAAATTGCACGGTACACTATAGGAACTACGATAAATTTTCCCTAATCGGCGCCATGTTTTTAGGCTCCTCCCATTTGACGGATCCCAATAGTAACTTGAACTTTTTTGAAGCTTTCCTTGTCATAAGTATCTACAGGATAATTCGCTTTGGTAGGTTATTAAACCTTTAACAGATTTGTGAAACTAATTCTAAATTTTAAGATTATTCAATCGATAAAATAAATTTATTTTGGTTTTCGGGTAATTAAACGTGGCTACTTATGAACGAAACGATTGTAAACATTTTCCGCTCCCTACAATAAGTATCGATCTAATATCCGAAATTCCTCAAATAATTCATTCTCGAAAGCGAGCTAGGAAAAAGGAATTCAAAGTGGTTAAGGTAATGTTGTAAAGCGCCTTAATAATCCCTAGTCAGAAATTTTCAAAAACTTCAAACATTACGATGTAAACCTCCCTAGTCTAACAACTAATGTAATTATTTTACTTGAAGTTTTTAGACTTTATTGAAAGTTAATTTTATTTAATATTGCCTCAACTTTATTTTAAACTGTAGTAAGTTTTACGTAAAAATTAATCTGACAACGTTTTATATCTAATGGTTTTCCATCTTACAGCAGAGTTGAATTTTTCTCCGTTATTTTTATTATACTAAGATCAATCTACGATAAAGCATACCTTCTCTTACAGGTTACGGACTGAAATGGATGGATTTTGTTACTGAGACAAGCAAAGTTTGCCGGCATTCTCCTTTTTTTTTTATCCTTCGGTTATACTTACTTGTATTTGTATAGAAAAGAAAATCCGAATGATTTTTCAGATATCTCTTTTTATTATCAAACGAATTACCTAATTGAAATGCTATCTTTTTAATCAACTATCACTGTGGGTTCCGTAATAACCACGGATCTGACTTTGCATCCTTTCTTGTCCAGCAGGTAATAAGGATTACGAACAGTAGATAATAACGCCGAGACTAACCAATGATTGTCCTGTTCATATTAAAACGAAAGGGTCAGAATAATTCTCTGGATATTATTCAAAAGGGCCTCATGGAGAAAACGATGTTTAGTAGATATCATAATAACGCACTGGAAATTAAATAAAATAATTGGAAGTGGTCTGTATTCTGTCGAAACGCGGATCGCGATTTCGATCCTTTTGGATCTCATCAGCGCGTCGCAGGCAGCTCAGACTGAACACAGACCAGTGTTAGTATTCTCTAAAACGCACTGTTAAGACAGCAGGTAAAAGTTGGTCTGTGTTCTATCGGAGCTGCCTGCGACGCGCTGATGAGATCCAAAAAGATCGAAATCGCGATCCGCGTCTGGCAGTTTCGACAGAATACAGACCACTTCGAATTACTTTATTCGATTAAGCTAACGTGCCTATCACGTTGAGGTTGGCTACGCCGGGATTCGTTTTCAGCAAATAGATATCCACACAAGTGGACCTTGTTGGAGCATACGTAATCCTAAAATGTAGCATCGTGCTACAGATGGCGTTTACTGCGCCATTTGTAGTATTTTCTAAAACGCACTGGAAATTGTTAGAAGTTTCATGGACATAATTATTTTTTTTTTTTATTCAGACCTTTTGTACAATTAACAACAAATAATAATTTATTTAATTGATCGAAAACGGTGTTGTGAATAATAATGAGTCATATACAATAAGAACACTAAGAGTGTATTTAGAAAAAATTGATTTCCCTTATTAAGAATGAAAATAAAACGGAAAAACTAGGAAAATGTAGCCGCCAATTGAAGATGGTCGGTTAGAAACACTGAGAAAGTGTCACGTTAAGTATTTAATATACAGCATTCCAATGTAAATCGTTTCTACCGTGCGGTGGCGGCGTTTGGCGGCTGGAAGGAGTAAAGGGTCGGCGTTAGGGGTCGGAAAAAGGGGGCGGCGACGGGGGGGGTGTTAGAAGCGACAGAGTTGACGACATTCCCAGTATTTGAATTCTCTTGTCGACCGTTTTGCAGGCGGTGCACGTTCGCGGCTTGCTTTCATCGAAATATCCTCTCGCCTATATCTTTAGTTTCACTCCACTTATTCCTTCAGCAAGCATACATCTGCACTTATCTTTCCTTGTTGCAGGTCAGGTGGACAAGCCCCCTCCGGAGTTCTTGGAGCCTTTGGAAAACCACACTGTCACCCAAGGCAGGGATATTTACTTCACTTGCGTTGTCAATCACTTGGCCGACTACAAAGTACGTAAATATATTTTGAATAATCCTTCTACATTAATCTCTCGATTTAACCAATCGAAAAATTTGTGGCATCTATCTCGAACGTCGAACCAACATTTAGATTATTACATGGCAACCTCTTTACAACATAACTTAGGAATGAGTAAAAATTTGAAAAATGAATTCATGAAACAAATTTGACCTCGGAATTGCACAGCAATCAGCACGTGAAGATTTACATATCCTAATATATAAAAATACAAATTTTGGTCTTTTAGAAAGGGAATAAAAAGACAAACAATCAAGAAAATACCTGATTTATCACTAAATTAGAATCTGGCTTTATGATTTCTGGTCTTAGTTTCCACATCCACGTTGACTAGTCTTTCCAAGGTTTTGCAGGCATCTGTGGCAGGTACCCTCAGGGATCATTGCTGGGTTGTTCGATAATTTCCTTACAATTCTCTATTACTTACTTTTCTCTTACAGAACGTATCCTATAGCAAGCGTATTTTGTTATAAGTGTAAATAAAAATGAGTTAGTTTCTGTTTTGGTGTGTTCAACGCAATCTAATAGCTTTAATCCTGCTCTGCTAGTTTAATATCCCTAAAGCTAATTCTGAAATTTCAAAATAGAGACAGTTGCAAAATATAAAATCATTTCAAATAAAGGAGTACATAAAGCACTGCAATATTCACGAAATTAAACATTCATTAAATAGGTACATTTTCTCGTTAATGTGCTTTGAAAAAGCGTTTTTCTTTTATCATAATCATCATCATCATCATCATAAGGTTGTCAGTCCTAAGACTGGTTGGACACGTACCTCCACTCTTTCCTATCCTGAGCTAAACTTTCGCATTTCCCTAAAACTAGAACAGCCCACATCCTTAACTATTTGCGAACAGTAATTTAATCTGGGTCTCCCTCTACCCCTCCCAACTCCTGTTTCTGCCCCTGATATGTCTCTGACTAGACCTTCATGCCTGAGAAGGTGTCCTACCAACCTATCTCGCCTATTTTTTATTGACTTCCATAGAGTCCTCTGTTCTCCTATTCTTTCTAATAGCTCTTCATTTCTAACCTTTTCTACCCACGATATCCTCATCATCCGCCTATAACACCACATTTCGAACGTTTCTAACCTTTTCTTTTCCGCCGCGCCCACTGTCCATGTTTCGCACCAGTACAACGCCGTGCTCCAAACACACCTTTAACAACCTTTTTCGGTTTTCGCTAGCTTAGAAGTGACTTCTTTTTATTGAAGGCGACTCGACCCTGCGCTATCCTCTGTTTTATATCCGTACTACTCCTTCCATCCTGACTTATCTGACTTCCTGGGTATCTAAAATCAGCCACTTCTTCTAATTTTTCGTCTCCTATCTTTATATTCGCTGTTTCCCTACTTTTTCTTCCCTTGCATACCAGTATTTTAGTTTTACTTTTATTTATTTTCATACAGTACTGATCTGTCTCTAGGTCCTCCTTGCTATATCTATTATCATGTAATAATAAAATAAAAACGTTTTGTGTTAGATACAGGATAATGAAATTCTAGAAAGGATCTATACATTTTTCATAAAAACATTATTACCACTCCATTGAGACAGCTCGAAGTTTATTCAAAAACTTAAAGCTATATTGCCTCAACCCCTCGATTCCTACCATTATATTCCGTGGTTACCTGTTTATTATTCTGTAACCATCACTTGGGCAGGCTTTTACAACACAAAAGGCTTAATGTAGGACTGATGGGCTATTTGCATTTTTTAGGTTTGCAAATAAAGCTGTAAAACACTTCACCACCGACGAAAAGGTAACTGCTGACGAATTAAAAAGATTAAGCAAAATGGAAATCTTACTGATGTATCTACGATCAAACTCAGTTTTCAAAATATTAGGAAATTTTGTTCTCCAGGAATAGTTACTCACAAGCAAACAAACAAAAATTTACACTTGACATTTTAACTAACTAACTAACTAACTAACCCCTACAAATTTTAACAATTCGCAATGACGGTTTCGTTAAAATGTTTGTGTAAAAAAACCGCAAGAAATCTTTTTTTTTAAATAACAACTCAATGGTTAGGATCAATATTGTACACATTAAATCTATCTCGCCTCCCGACGCGCGTGTTACACTGTTAGTTTCATAAATATGTATGATGGCGAAACTCAACTTTGCTATTCCTTTTTTTTTTCGTTCGCATATTGTTTGTGCAAAGTCGGCAAATACAGCTGCAAATCTAGATAAATGTTAAAGGACACGAGTGCAGCCGCTGTAATGTGGAAATAGAAATGGAAAATTCTACAATTACATTCGCCCTTATGATAGAAAACTACCCTCTTCTCAACTAAATCTTTTTGCTCTAACAATAAGATCCAAGATATACTTATGTACATACGTATGCATCGGCATTATATTACATATCGTTTGTTTGATGTCACTTGATACGTTTCATTTTTCTGAATTATTTCTGTCTTATAATGTTGTAGAATTCAAGAGTTTGTAACTTAAGACTGCTTACTACAACGAACATCTAAGCAAATGTATTGATCTACTTAGATACGCTTAAAGTTTTGCAGCATTACTGAACGTAAGGCAATAAGTTTTTTCCCTTTGTTAATCTTATTTAATTAGGATGGTATTTACAATAGTTAGGTAATGAAAAAGCGTTAATTATTTTCACATTATATATTTACGTAAAAAGGGGTGTAATTTTGTCTATTGAAAGTAGTGTGTGTGTGTAGCTATGTACAATATGTAGCATTTCTGGAAGAGTAATATGAAACGATTCGGTTCAATCTCCTGACGCAATCGTAGGGGTTTATGAAGAGTTTTTGCCTGGCGTTGATATCAAAGGGATGGTAGTCGGCACTGAGGCGAGCGCGCTGCGTTTATTGGAGGCTGAGTCAGGAAAGACTTCGCCAGTTTTTATAGTGGTGAACACCCTTTACTTAATATATTATAACAAAAGAAACTGGTGGTTACTTCATTTCAAAATATAAGTGGCAAACTCTGTTAAAATGTTGCACTTGTAATGTAATTTTATCATTTCGGTTTCTAATTCGTCGAGCGTTAGTTTGATTTCAAATAAATTGTGCGGAAAAGATATAAACTTTTCTTTAAGAAGGATTATTATTATTATTATGAGATTTTTTTTGGGGACACTCGATCATTTCTGTGTCTACTTCTTCTGTTACAGAATGACGATTCCGATTAATATTCATTTTTATGAGAATGGGAACATTAGTAGGTATTTTGTTCGATAGAATATAATAAAAGGGCTCAATCAAAACCAGGAACGTTCTTATTCAATTTGCTTCCGACTTCATCGAAATCAGCTCGGCATTGGTAATAAAATCAGACTTGAACCACTGATAGGTCTTATCTCTTCTCCCTCTAGCATTTCTTTTCCTTCTGATTCCACGTCCACGACTTCCAGCAATGTCGTAATAAAAATAGAATCAATGACACTTTTCCTTTTTCACAAAAAAAGGCGTACCTATAAGAAATTTATTTACTCTTTTTTCTGTTCGCTTTAATCAGTGTTCAGTTCTTTCCACAAATAAGCACATTCGAGAACATTCCAGTACATTCCCACTTGACGACATGTAAAGACGAAACAAAATCGGTAATTACACTACGATATACTATTTTGCACAAGTTTTGTATGTAATACGATCGGTCAAATGTTTCCATCGATAAATAATTAATTGTTTTCGATTTTCTCTGATGTGGTGGTTTTCAAACAGCAGCAGATACAATAAAGTTTATATTGAAATTGGTTTGCCTCTAGCCTTCATTCTCCATTATTACACGCAACAGTTGCTTTCCAGACAAATGAAACTTTAAAATTACAGTGGAATAGATCGGTCAGAACCTTAACATGAATAAAAAGTTCGCTTTTTGGGCCCAACATTTGTTTGATCCATGAACCTATAACGTGTAATGTTTGCCGATCGAAATTTGGATTCTTTTCGATATTGCAACGTCTTTTTTTTTTTGGTAGTCGATTGTTTGAAATGTGTTTATTTGTTACTGCAGAAACGTGAATATGCTGTTGCGTGTTTCTCAACGTATTTTCTTTCTATTTCAGGTTGCTTGGATCAAGTCGGATAGCAAAGCAATTTTAGCAATTCATACTCGAATGGTATCTCAAAATACTAGACTCTCTGTAACTCATAATGGACACAACACTTGGATGCTTCACATATCCAATGTGCAAAAGAATGACTCTGGAACGTACATGTGCCAAATAAACACTAATCCGATGCGCAGTCAGGTATTGTCCCCATTACCTAATACCGACGATTTTTCCCCTTTATCTTAACGTTCTTTTAAAACTGGAATCGTACTCCAAACATCGCGTTTAATAATCTTTTGCAATCTTTCGAATGAACCAATTAATTCGACATCTGAAATAAAACTTTTTGTGGATTATTTTATTGATTATAGTATATTTCTTTTAAATTATTAGATGGGTCACTTAGAAGTAGTTATTCCACCGGATATTATAAATGACGCCGACTCATCAGAAAGTGATTCTGTTGCAATGGAAGGTGGCACGGTAAGACTTAAATGTAAAGCAACCGGAGTTCCTGAACCTAGTCTCATATGGAGAAGAGAAGACAACAGAAACATCACTTTAAGACACGAAAACAGAGAAAAACAGGGTAAGTGTTATTTTAATTATTATTGACTAAAGAGCTAATCCTAATCCCTTGCAATGTGAACTTTTAAATCCATCAATGTCTATATGTAAATCACAATGAATTTTAATCTTTGTGTGATAACAAAAACTCCAACCGAATGGGCTTCTGGCTTCTCTGTACTTGTAAGGTTAGTTGCAAACGGATTTGATGATTTTAATTAAAATTGTTACAAATATCTATGTATGAGACGCACTCCCGATGAAATCTAGTAAATGTTCAACTCTGAAAAGAGCTTTACTAACGGATTTTACTTTGGTTACAAACTAATCAATGGGCATTGGCGGCCTTTAGAATTCTATTTTTTCAGTTAAATCTAAATGAAAGCGTCTTCATCATAACGTAAATTCGAAATTTGGAATTCCGAAAAACAAATAAATTGCTAATTCTTTGCTGTAGTATTTGTAGTTCGTTTTGTTGAAAGTTGTGCACAACATGCTCTGCTGAATGCATGGGTAGGTAAGGTAGACATTTGCTTTGTAGAATGAAAATTTATCTGAAAGGAAAATTGGATTTTCCCTGTTCCTGCGTGGTAGTTAAGTGTTTGTTGTCTCCACACGTCGATATCGATACGCCTGTAAGAAAACAATTTATTTAAATTCCCAAAATAATATCTCATCGACGTGGAAGCCAGCTGTGCTACCCCTGTTACCTAACCCGGCTCTCCGAACACCTATTTGCATTCCAGTGTTGGCGTACGTGTGCAATGAAAAATTCAGATTGTGCTTTCTCTCAGTACTCCCCTTACTGACAACCCTTTTACCACTACGTTCTGCTTTCGATAAATCTTACTTCATCTAAAATTCAAATCCGTTATTATCTTTGGCCCGAAAGAAATGATCTCACAGAGCGTTATCAGTTTAGCACGTGTTCAAGTACAAGAATTTTCGCTGGAAATCGAACCAATTTAAACAAACATCACATTTTATACATTCAAGAATCTCGTACCACAGTATGCTAAAGTATTAATTCAATCATAATCATCAAAAGTGATGATAAAGGTAAAAGTAACAAAATATAGGATTGTTCGGAAAGTCATTTCGTTTTTTTTTGTGGAAATGAAAGACAGTTTTCGTATAATTCACAAATACTTTTGCCATCTTTCTGGTAGTAGCATAATTCCACGCTCATAAAATTTTTGGTCTTTGCTGGCAAAAAACTGATCGAGGAGGTTTTTGACCTCCTCATTTGAGGTGAAGGTTTTACCGTCTAAAAAATTTTGGAGTGACCGGAACAAATAATANCAGTGCGGCGTCCAATAAATACTTTCCGGCATTCTTTTTGCTAATATATATAAAATGATTAAAAGAGGTAGAAAAGCGCTCGTAAGATTATTCGGAGATGGAAGGCATTTACTTAGTTCAGAGAAGCGACAATTACGTAAAAAGATACGTAGAATCTCATGGTGCCAACGGTTTTCCAGTGCGGCGTCCAATAAATACTTTCCGGCATTCTTTTTGCTAATATATATAAAATGATTAAAAGAGGTAGAAAAGCGCTCGTAAGATTATTCGGAGATGGAAGGCATTTACTTAGTTCAGAGAAGCGACAATTACGTAAAAAGATACGTAGAATCTCATGGTGCCAACGGTTTTCCAGTGCGGCGTCCAATAAATACTTTCCGGCATTCTTTTTGCTAATATATATAAAATGATTAAAAGAGGTAGAAAAGCGCTCGTAAGATTATTCGGAGATGGAAGGCATTTACTTAGTTCAGAGAAGCGACAATTACGTAAAAAGATACGTAGAATCTCATGGTGCCAACGGTTTTCCAGTGCGGCGTCCAATAAATACTTTCCGGCATTCTTTTTGCTAATATATATAAAATGATTAAAAGAGGTAGAAAAGCGCTCGTAAGATTATTCGGAGATGGAAGGCATTTACTTAGTTCAGAGAAGCGACAATTACGTAAAAAGATACGTAGAATCTCATGGTGCCAACGGTTTTCCAGTGCGGCGTCCAATAAATACTTTCCGGCATTCTTTTTGCTAATATATATAAAATGATTAAAAGAGGTAGAAAAGCGCTCGTAAGATTATTCGGAGATGGAAGGCATTTACTTAGTTCAGAGAAGCGACAATTACGTAAAAAGATACGTAGAATCTCATGGTGCCAACGGTTTTCCAGTGCGGCGTCCAATAAATACTTTCCGGCATTCTTTTTGCTAATATATATAAAATGATTAAAAGAGGTAGAAAAGCGCTCGTAAGATTATTCGGAGATGGAAGGCATTTACTTAGTTCAGAGAAGCGACAATTACGTAAAAAGATACGTAGAATCTCATGGTGCCAACGGTTTTCCAGTGCGGCGTCCAATAAATACTTTCCGGCATTCTTTTTGCTAATATATATAAAATGATTAAAAGAGGTAGAAAAGCGCTCGTAAGATTATTCGGAGATGGAAGGCATTTACTTAGTTCAGAGAAGCGACAATTACGTAAAAAGATACGTAGAATCTCATGGTGCCAACGGTTTTCCAGTGCGGCGTCCAATAAATACTTTCCGGCATTCTTTTTGCTAATATATATAAAATGATTAAAAGAGGTAGAAAAGCGCTCGTAAGATTATTCGGAGATGGAAGGCATTTACTTAGTTCAGAGAAGCGACAATTACGTAAAAAGATACGTAGAATCTCATGGTGCCAACGGTTTTCCAGTGCGGCGTCCAATAAATACTTTCCGGCATTCTTTTTGCTAATATATATAAAATGATTAAAAGAGGTAGAAAAGCGCTCGTAAGATTATTCGGAGATGGAAGGCATTTACTTAGTTCAGAGAAGCGACAATTACGTAAAAAGATACGTAGAATCTCATGGTGCCAACGGTTTTCCAGTGCGGCGTCCAATAAATACTTTCCGGCATTCTTTTTGCTAATATATATAAAATGATTAAAAGAGGTAGAAAAGCGCTCGTAAGATTATTCGGAGATGGAAGGCATTTACTTAGTTCAGAGAAGCGACAATTACGTAAAAAGATACGTAGAATCTCATGGTGCCAACGGTTTTCCAGTGCGGCGTCCAATAAATACTTTCCGGCATTCTTTTTGCTAATATATATAAAATGATTAAAAGAGGTAGAAAAGCGCTCGTAAGATTATTCGGAGATGGAAGGCATTTACTTAGTTCAGAGAAGCGACAATTACGTAAAAAGATACGTAGAATCTCATGGTGCCAACGGTTTTCCAGTGCGGCGTCCAATAAATACTTTCCGGCATTCTTTTTGCTAATATATATAAAATGATTAAAAGAGGTAGAAAAGCGCTCGTAAGATTATTCGGAGATGGAAGGCATTTACTTAGTTCAGAGAAGCGACAATTACGTAAAAAGATACGTAGAATCTCATGGTGCCAACGGTTTTCCAGTGCGGCGTCCAATAAATACTTTCCGGCATTCTTTTTGCTAATATATATAAAATGATTAAAAGAGGTAGAAAAGCGCTCGTAAGATTATTCGGAGATGGAAGGCATTTACTTAGTTCAGAGAAGCGACAATTACGTAAAAAGATACGTAGAATCTCATGGTGCCAACGGTTTTCCAGTGCGGCGTCCAATAAATACTTTCCGGCATTCTTTTTGCTAATATATATAAAATGATTAAAAGAGGTAGAAAAGCGCTCGTAAGATTATTCGGAGATGGAAGGCATTTACTTAGTTCAGAGAAGCGACAATTACGTAAAAAGATACGTAGAATCTCATGGTGCCAACGGTTTTCCAGTGCGGCGTCCAATAAATACTTTCCGGCATTCTTTTTGCTAATATATATAAAATGATTAAAAGAGGTAGAAAAGCGCTCGTAAGATTATTCGGAGATGGAAGGCATTTACTTAGTTCAGAGAAGCGACAATTACGTAAAAAGATACGTAGAATCTCATGGTGCCAACGGTTTTCCAGTGCGGCGTCCAATAAATACTTTCCGGCATTCTTTTTGCTAATATATATAAAATGATTAAAAGAGGTAGAAAAGCGCTCGTAAGATTATTCGGAGATGGAAGGCATTTACTTAGTTCAGAGAAGCGACAATTACGTAAAAAGATACGTAGAATCTCATGGTGCCAACGGTTTTCCAGTGCGGCGTCCAATAAATACTTTCCGGCATTCTTTTTGCTAATATATATAAAATGATTAAAAGAGGTAGAAAAGCGCTCGTAAGATTATTCGGAGATGGAAGGCATTTACTTAGTTCAGAGAAGCGACAATTACGTAAAAAGATACGTAGAATCTCATGGTGCCAACGGTTTTCCAGTGCGGCGTCCAATAAATACTTTCCGGCATTCTTTTTGCTAATATATATAAAATGATTAAAAGAGGTAGAAAAGCGCTCGTAAGATTATTCGGAGATGGAAGGCATTTACTTAGTTCAGAGAAGCGACAATTACGTAAAAAGATACGTAGAATCTCATGGTGCCAACGGTTTTCCAGTGCGGCGTCCAATAAATACTTTCCGGCATTCTTTTTGCTAATATATATAAAATGATTAAAAGAGGTAGAAAAGCGCTCGTAAGATTATTCGGAGATGGAAGGCATTTACTTAGTTCAGAGAAGCGACAATTACGTAAAAAGATACGTAGAATCTCATGGTGCCAACGGTTTTCCAGTGCGGCGTCCAATAAATACTTTCCGGCATTCTTTTTGCTAATATATATAAAATGATTAAAAGAGGTAGAAAAGCGCTCGTAAGATTATTCGGAGATGGAAGGCATTTACTTAGTTCAGAGAAGCGACAATTACGTAAAAAGATACGTAGAATCTCATGGTGCCAACGGTTTTCCAGTGCGGCGTCCAATAAATACTTTCCGGCATTCTTTTTGCTAATATATATAAAATGATTAAAAGAGGTAGAAAAGCGCTCGTAAGATTATTCGGAGATGGAAGGCATTTACTTAGTTCAGAGAAGCGACAATTACGTAAAAAGATACGTAGAATCTCATGGTGCCAACGGTTTTCCAGTGCGGCGTCCAATAAATACTT